ATGGTTCTATTGGGCTTTGAAGTGGCAAAGGCCTTGGCCTCTTGTTTGTCCTTTCAAGCTGTTGTCGATTAGATGGTACGGGTTTAACCTGACTTTTCTGATTTTTCATCTTTTTGGAATTTTCGAAATCTTTTTCGACAATTTGGGCTCGATCTACTATTTCAGCATAAATTCTCAATTTTAAGACTGATATTCTGCTTCTAATAGCTGGTCTGAGACCCCTTTCAAATTTTTTCACCTTTTTTACCCCATTGTTAATCATATGTGGTGTAAACTTGGCCAATTCAGTAAACTTGGCCTTGTACTGTGCTACAGTCCGATTTCCTTGGATTAATTCCAGAAATTCCATTTCTTTTTGGTTTCGAATAAAATCTGGGAAATACTTTTCATTAAATTAATAAAATCTAGGAAATACAAAGTAATAAAAGAAAGTTTAAGCACAACTACAATATCTTCCAGAGTTGATCCTGACGTGCACTTAAAAAGAAACCGCAGTTATCTTGAAAAAAACGTTTACCATAATTTGATGAGTTTGGCTACTCAGTAAGCGATCATCATAATCCTAAAAATAATCATGGTTGAAAGATATGAATATTTTCAAAAAGGAGATCTATTGACAGAAATGCATTAACAATTTCACTTTAAAAAATGTGTAATTAATTATAATCCGAATAATTGAAATGCATATAACATTTTAACAACAGTGCATAATTCAAAGGATTTCACAAAATATCCTACTGACATGCCAAGTAGGTCACCTATATACCCCATCAGCGTCCTGATGGGTCCACTTAATCCCTATCGGTGGCCCAGATAGGTCCACTTAATCCCTGCAGGTCCACTTATACCTCACCAACATACCGAATGAGTCCACTTAATCCCTTCCGGCGTATAGGATAGGTCCACTTATACCTCACCGGCGAACCAGATGAGTCTACTTGTAGAGTTAAAGTATTTCTAAATCTTTGTAAACATCGAAAGCAGCAATATCATGTACTCAAC